GACATTCCCTTCTTCAATGATTTTATTTAATTGTTCTTCTATGGTCGGTTTTTCATCAACAGGGACCTTTTTTCCCGTTGGAATTTCTTCCATTACCGCCAAACATACAGCCGGGCTTTCAATTTCAGCGATTTTTCCTTGTTTTTCTGTTTCCTCAGCGCTTTCTTCAGCACTTCCTTCAGCACTTTCTTCATCGGATGGAACACAATCGGACGAAAAGCTTTCAAGTTCTTCAAGCTCTTCACTTTCGTATTCGAGCTCATCGAACAATTTGTCAGCGTCGTCTTCGTCGTGGTCACCTGATTCATCATTTTCTGGTATTTGTTCTTTTTGCTTTCCTTTATCCGTATGCATAATGGGTACTTCAAACCTTTTTCCCAAATATCTGATGACTAATTTTTGCTCATCAAAGTCCAACATAGCCCTAGCTTTTTGGAACCAATCGGTTCCTAACAGTAATGTTTCGTCAACCGATTCCAAGACTTGTAGGGCTGTAGGTATTCTTACGTTTGAAATGTCGATGTTGACTTTTGATATTTTTCCTAAGGTTCGTTCTCTTGCTCCTGTTGCCGTTACAACCACTGTCTTTGATTCTTCATCAATTGCAAGTCCCAATCGATCGGCCAACCTTTTTGTGATAATGCTAACGGCTGCGCCTGTATCCAACACGGCAACCACGGGATCATCGCCGATTTGTACATAACATTTCGCAGCCGTGGTACGTTGAATTACTTGAGGGTCCACAAGGTTTGCTTCTTTAGAATTAGGGGGCCTTCTCATAACCTTTGCTAGGTTCCTACGTTGATTTGGGTATTGTAGGAGTTGCCCAACCGTGGCATTTGCCTTCATTGTCAAGATATCGTCGGCTACGTTATATGGTTCGACTTTATCAATAATCGACGGTCCCCTTTTTCTTCGAGGTTTACTTAGGTTTTTAGGGCCGGAAGAGATTATTTCAATATTATTTTTCGGAGCCATTGTTTCATCGATATTTATCGGGGGCGGGGAGACTATTCGCTTTCTTTTTCGTTCTTGGTTATCATTGTTGTTCATCACATTTTTCGGTGGTCGACCTCTTCGTGGTTGATCCACATTGTACAATTCTTCTTCCCATACTTCGTTACTGTAGATTTCCTCGGTTGTATCACAATAGTTTACCTTTTTAGGTTGATTATTCTTGTTATATTCATTCTGCTAGTTTTGATTATTTTTGGGAAGGGTGCAATTACGTGCAATATGGCCTTTCTTATTGCAGTTGAAACATACAATGTCGGGGTTTCTTGGGCGTTGGTTGCTTTGATTCCTTTGATTGGGCTGATTATTATAATAATTATTATTATAATTATTATTTCTTTGATTCCAGTTTTTTGACTGTGCCGCCGAGGTTACCATATTGGCGTAATTGATTGACATTTCATTCATTGCTTTTATTAGGGTTTCCATATCGCTTTGCGGTGCTTGTTGGGCCGTTTGTTGGCCATAATATTCTCCGGCTTCAACCTTCTTTGCACAAGAAATTGCAGCGTCAAGTGTTGTAGGGGCGGTCATGGTAACGTATGTTGCCATTTTTCCATTTAAACCGCCAAGGAACATACGTACAACATATGGGGTGGGTAGCTTTCCACTAGTTTCGACGCGACGTAAAAGTCGTTTGAATTTTGTGGCGTATGAGTCGATTTTTTCGCCTGGTTTTTGTGTTAGCGCATTCAGTTCTATTTGCCAACGGTGGTGTCGGTCGGGTGTTGCAAAGAATGTTGACAGTAAGTGGAAAAAACTTTCATCTTGGTTATTTTTATCGTTCCAGTGTTTAATCTTTGTCTTGTTCTCTCGGTACCAATCTGCTGCTAAATCGCTGAGATATCCGGCGGCGATTGTGATTCTTCTTTCGTTGCTCCAATTGTTTGTCTCCGCAGCTTGTTCGAATGCTTCGAGCCATTCAATCGGGTCTTCGTCTTCTTTTCCATAGAACTTTCTAATTAATATAAGGTTAAGTTCTTTCTTTTCGGGTACGTTGGCCTTGATAATCCTTTTTGTTGCATCTTCAAATTGCTGGGCAAATTTATCCAATAATAGTTGTAGTTGTGCTGAATCCATTTTAACTTCCTTCTTGTCAGGTATTTTTGCCGTTGTAGGATTTGTTTCCGCGTCAGTGAGTAGCGGTGGTGGAGGTAATTGTTTCGATCCTTGTATGCTAAGACCGAAGGTGCTCTTTGCGCCCTTGGTAGTCGTGGGGTTCTTTTGTTCGCTCACTTTGAAAGTTATGTGATAAAAAAAAAATTGCGTTTGTACAATTTTTGCGCTTTTTCAGCTGTAAGTTTTAAGATTTTGGAGTTTTTAGTAATAAGTGTGTTTGTGTTTACTGAAAGAAATTAAGAGGGAGACGAAAATAAAAATTTATTTTTCTTGAGGTTTTTTATATTTGATTTTCCAGAACCGATTCAGCTTATATATTGATTAATAATGATTGTCCTGAAGTTTGTTTGTAACAAGTCTGTCACTTGGATAATTTTTCCGGCTTATTACGTATGTGTTCTATTGTTCTATTGTTTAAGTGTCGATCTCTATGACAGACTTCGTCACTATTACTTATTTTCTTTATTGTAGATCCTTAAAGCTTATGTTCGTTACTTTCCAGTTTGCAGTGGTTTGTTTGCCGATCCTTTCTCTAAGTTTTTGGATTACACTTGCGTTACGTAATTATTGGTTTATACTTTAAACGCTTCTCTTATTTTTATTATAAGGTTACTGATTTGGTTTTTCTAATGTGTTGGTCTTGCAAAAACGAACTCTTGACCTTTTCTTGCTTTTGTTAAAGCCGTGTTACGTCAGGGAAGTATTCAAAATTACTGCGCTCTTTTCGATGCTCTGTTCTTTATTTAATCTGATCGTCTCTTATTTCTTTATTAAGCTCCTGCTTTTTCTTTGGTCTCAATTTTTGACCTTCCTTTATATTTATTAAAATTAATATTACTTATACAAAATTTAATTATTTCGAATTATTTCAAATTATTTTGAATTTTACTATTATAATTCTATTTTTCATATTTAAATATTTTTTTAAATATTGAATATTCCGGGTTAAACTATTTAGTATATTTTGTAAATTTTCAAACTAATTTAAGTTTATTGAATATATTTATTATTTAATAAAATTTTATTTCTTTTGGATAGAATCTAAATAATTTGATATCATTCGCAAATGATTGATAATTTTCATTTTATAATATCATTTTACATTAGTCCGATTTATATATATTATTAAACAAAATCACAACCATGTAAAATAGTTAAATCCTATGTGGTTTAGATTAATGATTTACTTTCAAAAATGGTAAAGATTTTGCTTTTATTAAATTTATATAAACCCTTACTTTCAAATACATTAAAATGATATATTTTTTTTATTTAATAATCTGATTATATAAAATTTTAAGAATGCTTTTATATAACAATAGAAGTTTTGTTTAGCATATTAATTTATTCAAGATGTTTTACATATTTTTAATATAGTAATTAGTTTAAAAGGAGATATTATTTTGGTTATTTCGTATCATTTTAACTATTCCTAAATTATTTCGCAAGTGTTCGGTTATAATTAAATTAATTTAATATGTTGAAAGCATTTAGAAAACCAATATACAAATATATTAAATGTATTTAATATATTAAATTTGATAAATTTAAATAATATTAAAATATTTTGAATTTATTTAAATTTATTTGAATGATATTTTTAATAAATTTCTTCTGTACTTTTTGATTTATTTTGAATTATCGCAAACAATTTTAAAATATACTGATTTTCTGTTATCTACTTTGTAATTTTTCTATCATTTATTTTCATTAATCATTTCAATTTTATTTAAATAAAATCGCAACTGTGCACAAATGTTTAGTACTTTTGTGGTTTAGATTAACGATTTATTTGCGAAATAGGTAAAGATTTTGCTTTTATTAGATATATATATAAACCCCTTATATTCAATTACATTAAAACTATATATGTTTTTTTTATTTATTATTCCAATTATATAAAATCAAAAAATACTTCTATATAACAATAGATTATACAGGATGTTCAGTAAATTTCTACAGTGGGGTACCATATTATTATAGACACTTTTTCAAAATTTATATAAAGCTAAATAAATAAGATATAAAGCTAAAAATAAAACTATAAATTTATTAAATC